GGGGGGGGGCGGTGCGGAACCAGGCAGGCTTTGGTTCTGTCATGCACAGGGCTGCTATGAGTTGGAGCCAATTCCACTGCACCTAACAACAATATTGGGTTGCTAAGAGTTGGCATTGCCTGGGTGTCAGTGGGTTTGGGCTTCTTTTGTATAAAAACCTGAGAATGTTTTATTTTTGTAAAATATTGAGAACTCCTCTATATTAACATAGAGGGGTGAGGCAGTCCATGTAGTGTTGATTAACATTGATGCATAGATCATAGTTAGGAAAACATGCCACATTATTCCAAGTAGCAACCATAGCCTATAAACATTAATTTCTCCTCCTCTCCTTTCACCATCTCATGGAAAACTCCAATCTTAATATTTGTCTCTTTGAATTTGCCTTTTTTGTATGTATATATGTTATAATCTTATTTAATATTACCTGTATGTCTATTGCTAAGTATCTAGAAAACACTTTTGTAGGAAAGTAATTCCATACTTATTTTATTACTTATGAATAAAATATTAAATATCAGTGAATATCAAGTGACATATTAAAGGAAGTAAATATTGTGTAGAAGTCACCATGTTAAGTTCTCTGTGGGATCCAAAGATGGATGTAACTTCTCAAGGGAGATACATGATAGAAAGAACTTATGGGATCCTGAGAAAACTCACCACTCCTTCTAGAATTCCCCGTGGTCTAATAATATAGTAGAGATGTGACCTGGACTTGGTCTTGTTCCCAAGAGGTGGGTACACAGTCTTTGCTAAACTTGAACAAGTATGATTTGGTAATTTTGAGATATAAGTACAACCTGGGAAACCTGATCCTAGTTTAAGATTCCATTCTCTTAATACCTAGGGTGGTCTCACATCTTACTTCGCTTTGAATATTAGATTTGGATCACAATTATTGAATGGTACTATAATGTCGTTTTCACATTTGAAAGTTTCCATTTTTATTTCCTGAAATATTCCTTTAAGTCATCCTAAAACTGAGAAATAATAATATCAGATTTGACTAGCATGAACTTTACTAGTTTCTGACAGGAAGGGGAAGATTTTACT